GAGCTGGAACTAAGGAGATCAGCACGGAATTCATGAAAACAGTTGCAAGAACTGGATGGAGAAACCATTACCAGATTTTGGCAAGAAGGTTTCATCTCAGTCCCCACTCATTAAAGTGCTAAAAGGGAGACTGAGATTCAAAGGCTACGAGGTGAAATTCAGAGGTGCTTGTTTAAAAATGAGGAATGGGGACAAGTACTGATAGACACCGTTTCATACCACCCAAAATGGTTAAGACCAGTTACGCAGGATTCCCTCAGCTTTACCATTAAGAAATAAATCAAGTGTAAATCAAAGGGATGTCAAAGGCAGCTTTTAGGGATGGTAACAGGAGGCTCTGAGGCTTCAGGTTACTGCTGAAACCTTGCTTCCAGTGAATCAAGGATTCAATGCTCTTCTGCATCGTGAAGCACCCAGTTCAGTGACCAGAAATCAAGGGGTGTTTTTCTTTTCCCCTACTTTCTCCATGGGCAATATTAATTCCTTCCCATTAGGTCCCAAGTTTTTTTTCCAACAGAATACAATTCTGCTACATATTCTACATTTACAGCTAGTAATTTGATAGATGCAGCTTAGATCAAGACGAATAGACACTAATTAGTACCATTTTAATAGACAATCGGACTTCATAAGAGAAATCTGTTTCGTAGAAATCCAATTGGAAAGCCAGTGGCAAGTACATGAACAATCTGTGCACAGCCAAATGAATCGAGATACAGTACAAAAATCAGTAAAAATAAGCATCACATCTCTTAGCTTTAACGGAACTCAAAACAAAATCCCCACAGCATTTTCACTCAGTGGAGTACCCAATTCGTTCAAGCCTCACGCAACTGATTTCAAAATGTTATGCTGGCTCCAAAAAGTTTCAGAAAAATCATGTACCTCACAGCTAATCACTGGGCCTAGATCTCTGTCCTTCACTGGAAACCTGCAACAGCAGGGCTGCAAAACTAAACTGACCTGAAGTGTACATGATTCTCGGTCACATCATAACCAACTTATTCTCTCCAACCCCTTTATTTCCCACAGTGTGAAACCTGAAAGCTCCCAGTTACGAAGACCAATACCCAGTTCATCTTCAAACAGGTCAAGAAAAGAAATTAAAAGCAGGCAGGATACTGAGATACTTCATCAGGTTTCACCGAAAATCACACTCGTCAAAACCTCACAGCCTCAATGAAGGCAGGAGTCATCAGATGCTCTCTGCAAAGTTTAATACATTCTTCCTGCGCCTTTTTACATATCCCAAAAATCACAACAGAAATTCAGTGTCACTTCTCTCCCAAACCTGTGGTCTAAAGACAGACAGGACAATGCAGGATTCTCACCATTAAAAGGACAAGTGTCATTCCAAACTCTGAAACTTCTGCCATTAAGTCAACAATAATAAAAACCATAAAAGACTCTCCAAACCACATCCTTTATTCTTACCAGAAGGAGCAGCTGCTATCAAAGCATTTCTCCCATCATGTCCCTGTGTCTGCCAACAAAATACCTCCAGAGTAAATCGTGCATCAGGACCCACAGGACATGGATTTCCCTCAGTTTAGAGACCTGGCTTTGCACAGAAGGGCTCATACACATTTTTTGAGGGATACTTCCAAACAGCTGGATTACATTTCCCCACTAGCTCAGTCTAGGGGATCTTGAAGTACACAGTCCTAACTCTCTGCAATGTTCCATGACCATCTAAAAGCTTTTCTCCTAAAAAATTATGAATGAAAGGGGGACAGATGCCATGGGGAACAACAGGACAAGAGGAACCCCAAGGAAGCCTGCAGAATTTGTCAGATGTACAGAACAGGTCAAGGAAAGCCTGAAACAATAAATGCATTTCTCTCACAGTCCATCAGTCACCTTAGGGTTTTACTTTACCTATAAAATAGTTATTTAGAAATATTAATGTGAGGAAAAAATAATAAAACCAAGCTAAGTACCTGCTAGAGGAGATGCTTCTGGCCACTCATGCCTCTTTGGCGGAATTTCACAGTGTAAGCACAGCCAATGCACTTGAAACAAGTCATCTCCCAAGCTTTAAGAGATGGCTTTTCAAATATTCAAGCTCAGTGGGACATTCAGAAGTGTTAATAACTTCTGGAATGATGGCAGAGACACAGGGGTGTCTGAGGTGGACAATCCCTTTACCCTGTTTTTTGTTTCAGATAAAGAAGGCTTCTACAGGTGATCTTTGAAACTGTCTCATCATCCATTCTTCTGCAATTTCTTCCTCCTTATTTTTTCAGCCTTTCTTTTTTATTCTTCAGTGAAATGCACCTGTAGCACTGCTTGCACCCTTCAGTTTACAGGTTCAAAAGCTGACTTACAGGAGAAGCTCTTACTGCATGTATCTCCCAGTCTGTAGCATCTGTTCCCTGCATGCCTGATCAGAGAGAGGAAGCACGACTCAGCTCACAACAAAAAAAAAAAAAAAAAAAAAAAAAAAACCAATGTCATTTAAATCAATTAACACGAACCATGACCAACCCCAGAAGCCTTTGTTTAGGGCAGCTTCTACTTACGTGTAAGTGTAAAAAGCAAGATTTTCAGACAGTGTTATGAATTAGTCACGCCTGAGCCACCAACTCATTCACCTCTCAAGTTCTTCAATAAGAAATGCATTGTTAAAGGCATTAAACTCTGCCCCGACCAACATGGCAAGAAAGGCAATTCAATGGGCAGCACCTCCAGACAAAACAGGTTTTGAGCAGTGCCTTTAATCCCTTACCAGTGATCAACTATCCTTCACACCCCACATTATATAATGACAAGTGCTTCCAGAAGGTGGCTGGTAATTCATCAGAAGACTACATTTTCCTTCTTTTGACTTTTCTCTACAGGATCATGCACATAATGATAGCAAAGCCTTTAAACATTACTTTTCCCTCTGAGCAGGTTTTTTCCATGTGTGCTACAAACTTACAACCGTATGTTAATATACTCGATGTAGGCCTCAAAATCTAGCTCTCAAAGGAGCAACATGGAAAACAAAACTGGATCCCCTTAAAGCAAGAGTCAGTTACCAATTTCATCATTTTTAACCTTAAGGGGAACCAACTGTCAGCAACATGGACAGTGGTATCAAGTGTACCCTTTTCAAGTTTGCTGATGACACCAAGCTGTGTGGTTTGGTTGATACACTGGACGGAAGGGGTGACATCCAGAGGGACCCTGACACACTTGAGAAATGGACCAATGTCAACCTCATGAAGTTCAACAAAGCCGAGTGCAAGGTCCTACACCTGGGTCAGGGCACTCCCAGGCACAGCTATAGGCTGGTCAGTGAAATGATTCAGAGCAGCACTGCAGAGAAGGACATGAGGGTGCTGGTTAATGAGAAACTGAACATGAGCCAGCTTCAGTGTGCACTTGCAGCCCAGAAACCTCCTGTGTCCTGGACTGAATCAATAGAAGCGTGACCAGCAGGTTGAAGGAGGTGATCCTGCCCCTCTACTCTGCTCTCATGAGACCCCACCTGGAGTACTGTATACAGTTCTGGTGTTCTCAACATAAGGACAGTGACCTGTTGGAGCAAGTCCAGAAGAGTGCCACGAAGATAAGGGGGCTGGAGCACCTCCTGTATGAAGACAGGCTGTGAAAATTGGGGCTTTTCATCCTGGAAAAGAGAAGCTGTGTGGAGACCTCAGAGCAGCCTTCCAGTATCTGAAGGGGGCCTACAAGGGTGCTGGAGCGGGACTCTTCATTAGGGACTGTAGCAATACAACAAGGGGTGATGGGTTTAAACTTAAACAGGAGAAGTTCAGGTTAGATAAAAGGAAGAAGTTCTCTACTGTGAGGGTGGTGAGGCACTGGAAACAGGTTGCCCAAAAAAGTGGTAAATGCTCCATCCCTGGCAGTGTTTAAGGCCAGGTTGGACAGAGCCTTGGGTGACATGGTCTGGTCTGAGGTGTCCCTGCCCACGGCAGTGGGGTTGGAACTAGATGATCTTAAGGTCCTTTCCAACCCAAACCAATCTACAATTCTATCAAGTCTTAACCATACTTTCCCAGAGACAGTTATCACAAATTTCTTCAGCTTATTGCTCCTCCAGTGGCATCCAAAGTATTTCTTGATACACAAATCCACGCATGATCATGTTTTCAGCCTGAAAAACATTTGCAGCTCCTTGTTAATAAACAGATGGAAGTCTTCTTCGCTAAGGCATCTCAAATTATCTCAGGAGTCTGAAATTATTAGAATAACTTTAATTATTCTAAAAAGCCACACAAAAACACATCACCGAGTGTTCTGGCCCAAACCTATGTTTCAGCTTCTATAAACCCTGGAAAAGTACACGTGTGTCAAAACTCCCATAGTTTGCTCTACAGATGAGGGCTAATGTCACAAAACAGGTCCCCCCATCATCTGGCCTGATGCAATAGGTGTAATTCACCACCGCACCTACCATCACAGAATCATAGAATTATAGACTGGTTAGGGTTGGAAAGGACCTTAAGATCACCTAGCTCCAACAACCCCTGCCATGGGCAGGGACACCTTACAATAGACCATGTCTCCCACAGCTCTGTCCAACCTGACCTTGAACACTGCCAGGGATGGAGCATTTACCACTTCTTTGGGCAACCTGTTCCAGTGCCCCACCACCCTCACAGAAAAGAACTTCTTCCTTATATCTTACCTGAACTTCTGTTTTAGTGTGAACCCATTACTCCTTGTCCTATCGCTACAGGCAGTTCCGACTTAAGTGTCACGCAAAGAAACTTGCTCAAGGAGATATGGGACAGAGAAGAAAGTTTCTCCACTTCAAACACTGTCCCTCCCATGTCCCCTACATCTGAGATTAAGTCTCAGGTTTCTGTACAACAGGCCAATATGGTCTAAGTGGGATTGGTACCTCAAAACATCCTCCCAGCACTAACAACATCACACCAGAGGTTTTTGCAGTAACATCACCTTCACATTAACAATGTTTTTAATACCTTCTACCTGCCTGTGAAACAAGGTCTAGCAGCAGCAACTTGCTCAATTCTAGAGTTATTTTAAAGTGAAACATCACTAGTCATTTGCTGCTGCGTAGCTTCCACAATCAAGTGAAGCTGTCTCTTGGCAATGGCTGTGTTTAAATCCCATAAGAACTCCAACAGCTTGCCCTGGAGGAGAACCTCCATGGGCACAAACTGCAAAACTTGCTGGGGAGAGTCTGTGTCGAGCAAAGAACTCATTAGTTCCTTCAGATGCTGCAGATATTGGACAACTGGATATGGGAGGCCTTGGTAACCAATGCACAGCAAAGCAGTGCAGCTCCTCAGGGGCTCAGGGCAGGTTGGACAAGCAAATGTGATGCATCTGAAGCAGCAGTGCAATATAAAGACCAGGCCAGCTGTGAAGCGTGTAAAACAAGAGAGAATAGGCAAAATCAATGCATCTCCCACTGTCAGCTGATCCAACGAATGCAGAACACACTCCAAAAGCTGCTGCTGGTACTTTGGTTCTCCATCATAAAGCAAAGAGAAGCTAAATGTCATCAGTGTGGATGAGTCCAGGAGCTTTGTTTCCATACTGGGTTGGCTTTCAATATCGCAAAGGAGGGGGAAGTCTACCACAAGGCACTTGAATTGGCCACCACATCTTCCATTTAGGACTTCCTGATGACATCTGGAGAGATCAGACACTTCTGCCAGTATCAGTTCCCCAGGAAGCACTTCACACGACTGACATGTCTGCACTATCTGTCTGCTCTTCAGACTCCCCCCCATCAATGCGTTCAGCGCTTCATTCAGATTTTCCAAGACCTGACCATCACAAAATGGGGAACATTTTACCACTGGTAGTCTTTTTCCTTCCAAAATGTACCACAAGCTACACTCGAGGGCAGAAGACAATCCTTCCAGGATGCATGTTTTCCCGCCATTATTTAAACTATGCTCTTCAGCCCAGTGATTAAAATAGCCCTTTGCCAGTTTCTCATTCCACGTGAGGTTTTCCAGCATCCTCCTTTCATTGTATGTACTAAAATATTTGCTTCTTTGCCCAAACCATTTTGCATTCATACTGCAACCAGTCTGAGATTTTCTGACAAGCCAGTTCTTTCTGGCAATGGGTTTCAGATGAAACCTCTGCATGAAGAACACCACTGCACAATCTCTTAACTTGTTCAGCTTCATCTGCTCCGCTTCTCCCATGCACTCAAAGAGACAGATGTTCTGAGAGATAGTTTCTACCTGGCACTTGTGGAAGAACATGCAACACTCTTCATGTATTTTAAGGAAAGATTCTGGTAGAACATGCTGGGGAAAAAGTGCTTTGCTGACTATTTCTGTTCCAAAGTTCTGCATCATCTTAGAAAGCAGTGGATGGATGCTCTCCCTGCCCATGTAACGAAGGCAAATTACATAGGCCTCTGAGTTGCCGGCTTTGCTAGTGGCTGGCTTAAACACATGGACCTCCTCAAAAGAGCAGTTTAACAGAAAGAGCAGATTGGTAGAACAGTGTTCAAACAGCGTGAACATCTTCAAAACAAAGGACCCTCCAGTGCCCAGGATCATTAAAGCAGTGACTGTTTCACAGTAATGAAGGGGTGAAACAAGAGCCTCCTGTTCACCCGGATTCCCCTGACAATCAAAGCTGCCATCAGCAGTCACCAAGTGAACTGTGGCCATATTACTTACAAAGTTCTGAAGTCCTGTTAGATGTTTCAATGTCATTACGTCACCAGTGTTATCTGGGCCGAAGTACCACCAAGGCAAGGTATTTGCTATGAGACGGTCATCCATGATCATCATAAGGGTGTCATTGGCTTCATGATACGGGTTTAGAGTATTTGCTACCCAATTCCAGTCACAAGGGACATGGTGGGATTTCAAGTAGTGGTTGAGGCTGGCTATAAACGCTCCAGGTGCTTCACAGAGGTGGACAGAATTCAATTCTCCATCCTGAAGAGCTTCTTCAGAGAGAAGAGGAAAACTGCACAAGATCTCATGGAACTTGCACCATGCTTGGGTACACAGCTCAGCATTCAGCCATTTCTTCACATGAGGAATTATTTTCCCTGCTTTATTGGTAAACGAGGTGTGCTGATGCCATTCATCCAGGTTCTTATCACTGAGCTGATTCTTCACATCATTCATGGAGTCCTTCAGAGCCAGGAGTGAGTCAAATTCCTTGTGATCACACGTAAAAGCATCGCTGGGATCTGGAAGCTGCCACTCATTATTCACCGGCTTAATGTAAGTAAACTTCTTCGCAAAGAGCTTCTCAGTTTCAGAAAGAATTTCAGGACTGAACTTGTCAAGGTTTGTAGTCAGGTTAACATAAGACTTCTTACATTTGTTCATTCTTGGATTGATTCACAACCTGGAGAACAGCATAGAAGAATAAACATTGTCACTCCAGTTATACTTGTATGTAAATAGCAAAGCTGTTCTTAAACAATAAAGATCTCTCCTGCTTAACCTCTGTATTGCAGAACATGAGAAATGCTTCATAGAATCATGTACCAGTGAGGAAAATAAATGAGGACTCTCCTGAATGAGACTATCTGGAAATCAGGAGATTCACGGGTTCAATCACCCTTAATGCTATTTACACAGCAAGTGAAGAACAGTTAGCTGCTGCTTTGGCTCTTCACTGACCTCTGAATGCTCTGCTCACTATGCAGGTCTGAACACTTAAATCCAAGTATCTCAGTCACAAAAGAGACCATACCACAAGCCATACAAATTAAACAAGTGGCCAAGAAATCTTTTCATCTGATTATGGCAGTAGTTATCCAGGCATTCAAAGTAAGGAGACCAGGGAGCCCAAGCCAAGGGAGCTTGGTGAGGGAGCCCCGCTGCTCCTCCTCCTTCCCAACAGCTACCCCTCATACCTCTTCCACCAAACCCAATATGATGCAGGGAGAGCCCCTCAGCAGCACCCAGCTCCTTTGCTTAGGAGACCCTGGTGAGAGGTTGAACCTCAGCCTGCAAGCAAAACCCCATTTGCTGTACTACTGACTACAGCAAATCCTTATGCCTTGCTTGCCCTACTGGAGAACCAGCAATAAATCTGAAGCAAGAAGAGACTTCATTGCATCCACAGTCAATCTTAAATCATGCTTGATGTTAAATGACAGTGTGAGGTGTTGTGCTTTGAGTGAATACATGCAGGTATCAGGAGCATACTCCACACAAAGTTAAAGAGCACTGTGGTCATCTGCTCCAGCACACAAGCAGAAGTTAAGTTCGCTAACCAGAAATATGCCTGCAATCTATTCAAAACTAAGACGTTCATTTAAGCAAAATAATTTAACCAAAATTACCACAAGAGACAGGAATCATCAAATTGGTTAGGTTGGAGAAGACCTTTAAGATCACCAAGTCCAACAGTTATGTTGAAATTCTTGCTTTCTGGGATTTTTATTATGGACTTCTCAAGCAGCTTCAAACGGTCTTAACAGAAAGCAAACACTCAAGAGAAGCCACACAATAACTGAGCAACTTTTCTACAGACACCAACTTCTCTCACATGTAGTTACAAGGTGCTCAGACACCACTGAAACTCAGTCACCAGAGACACAATGACAGAGAACTGCTTGTCAGGACTTAACAGAGCTGATTGATTGATTGTACTTCTACATCATCTTATAACTTATAAAGGTGTAAGTCTCCTGCAATACAAAATACAACAACCTGCACTCATCCTGCTCCTTTGTGGGGGCTGACACTAGGAAATCCCTCAGCATATCTTTTTAACCACCCCATTCCATCAGAAACAAGTAACACCAATCTTAAGTGTTACAGTTTAGTGTAATAAAATATTGCATTAAAACTGAAAGAGTTGAGAACTTTGGAAGCAAACAGAACAAAGAATAGCCAACCAAAACGCTTTTCCCCTTGAACCTGTGTAGCATCTCAGCCAACAGCCACGGGACCACAGCAACCTCCTCTCCTAAGTACTGTCTCTAAGGGCTGAAGTTTCATGTCTCATTTCCACAATTCCACTGCCTTTCAATGAGCATACTTAGTTTCACTTTCCTTTACATAGATATTCTTCAGCTTTAATCTCATTGTTCTCACAGAATGCTGGGGAGAAGAGGAAAGCTGAGGGAACACAGAAGACTGCTGTGCTGTAAACCACTTTTACTTCGTTTTTAAACACGATCCAAGAGCTCACACCAGCAAACCCCTGAACAAGCCATCACCCAAAGCACAAGGAAACCGGCAATCGCCTGATTTTTCTGTTTTACAGTTATTTCAGTCCCCATCGCCTGACTCGAGCCAAGGCCGCTGAAGGGCGCCTCCGGG